GTACTGCATTCTGCTCTCCCTGAGAACTCTCTCTGCAACTTCCTGCTGCTTTTTATAGGTGAATCAGCTGATCCTTGCTCAAGTGTGCTTCCTTGAGCAAGTCCAGTCCTTTAGCCCTTAGAGGACTAAGCCACCGTGTTACAATATGCACACCTGTATTCAAGTTTTTGCAGTAGGGATGTAATAGTGTAGTCGATTAACCAATTAACTGATAAGCAAAAGCTTATAGGTTAATGCAATAGGCTACACACATCCCATCCCTTCACCAATAAATTTTTTAGAAGGCTAGCCAGCAGCATGGCTGAGTCCCAGCGTACGCCGGCTGGGTCTGGGACATATCCCTGCCATGGCTCTGCATTTAAAGTGCATTAGGATCCAGGCGGGCAGGCAGCATAGCTCAGTTCCGGCTCACATTGGGTCCAGGATCTCAGACCCCACTCCTGGAGAGGAGCTGCTGCTGCCTCTGTACCAGAGGCAGCAGTGTGTGATAGCAGGCAGCTGGCCCGCAAGGGGAGCTGGTTTTAAACAGGCTTCCCTCATGGACCAGCTCCTGCCTGGCACCCCACGCTGCTGCATCTGGTAAAAGGCAGCAGTAGGGTGACGGGGCTCCCTGGAAGTGGGGATGGAGCATGCTGGCAGCCGGCCCAACTCCGAGGACTATAGTCTACTAACCAATAAGAATTCATGAGGTTATTTGACTCTTCCATTAACCAATATTTAACATCACTGCTTTGGCACTACAAGTGGCAATAGTAGGTTTAAAGAAACTCATACCTTTAATTTTTCTTATCTTCCTTAGTCCTCTTCAATAAGGTTCCTTGTGCATATTAAGTGGATTAAAGGACAAGAATTCCCTATCTCCCTATAATAAAAAGGGGTTGACTAATGAAGTAATATTGTCCACAGTAGTTCTCGTATTCCATTGCAAATAGGGAGAATCAAATTTGATTGGTTTAGACAACTACACTAATACATATCCAGAAGAACAGCCCTGAAACAACTATTAAATGTTTGACTAGTTATGGGCAATATGGTCCTTGTATCTTAACTGTACCTTCAAGTGCTCTTTGGAGACTAGATTAGTAGGAACTAGACATTGTTTTTTTTCATTAGTTAGTAATCGCCACTTTACATCTTACCCTTGACTCGCTCAAGTATTTGGAATTCTAACTTTTAAGCCATGAAAATGTTTTCAATGCACAGTTGTCTGAATTCCCTCTGATTAGCAATAGTGTGGTTTGAGCAATACTTAATCTCCAAAAACTAGACCTATTCAGCATAGACAGCTTAGTGAATGCGAGTGGGACTCTAGTCAGAGCAGTGCTTAGTCCAGTGAAATTGAAGGGCTGAGAATGAGGCTGAAAGTGTTAAGTTTCTAACTCTGATCCCTGTAATGTATGGAAATGACCTGGGTAAGGAGAAAAAACTCCCAGGCTAGAGAGACAAGGGGGGAAAATGTGAATTGAAGTTCACAAGAACTGAAAGACTCTTGCCTTCCCAGAGGTCTCATAAGGTAGCAGCATATTGTTAGGAACTTTTGCTCCATTGCTGGCTCTTGGAGTGTGAGAATGGTTTTGGCTAGATAAAGATCTGTCCAGCACATGCCTTCTGACACAGCAGCAAACAAGCTAAAAACCCAAGTAGAAATATCTTTCTCAGTGCAGCTGTTGAAGCGTCTGAGTGTTAGTTTGGAAACTTACTGTTAAATGTGTAGGTGTAGGGCATTTACTGTGTGCTAATATTTTGCACTCACGTTCTCAAGAGGGGATTTCCTCTAGAAAGCAGCTTTTGGTGCTGCTTTATGACCTTCTATTTTGTGAGTTAGCTTGTATGCTGTGACAGAACAATTACTGTTGTGGCAATAAACTCCCAGGACTTGAAAGGTAGTAGCAAATTTATTTAAATGCAGTAAAGGCCTCACTAGAGCAATACACATTCCCTAAACAGAATAGTGCTGTTAAACTAAACAGTTCTCTTTGAAGGCTCTTGGGACAACACTGAACTATAAGTCCGTATTTGGGTACTAGATAATAGTCTGACTTTTTTTTTTTTTTTTCAAAGATGCTGTGCACCCATCATTTCCCATGAGAGTGGTAGTTCTCAAAGTGCAGCCTACTCAAGGCTCAGCTTCCCCTGTGGTGGGGAGCCCATGCTGGTGTGCAAGCTCTGGGCACCTCTCCCCCACTCGTCTGTGAGGTTGGAGCACCAGTGCTGGCTTCCCACTGTGGTGGGGGGAGGTCCAAGCCTCATGGACTGGATCTGGTTCGCAGGGGGAGCAAGCGGCTCAGCATGCTGCTGTTTTCCCTCCTTCCAGCTGGGGGTACAGCATCCTAGGGAGGTGCTGTCTGGAGGCTTTCCCCTCTGCTACTATTTGCTGGGAGCAGCAGCAGGAGGTGCCTGGGAGC